ATCATTACCTGAACCATTTGTATATTGCTTAATTGGAATCTGTACAAAAGCAATTCCTACTATTCGCGTTAAGAAATTCAAACTGGGATTCGAACCAGATCCTGCCTTCTTACAAAAGTAGTTTACAGCTCATTAATCTCCCTACACTCCTTAGTCGTTGAAAGGTGCTTGGAGTTTTATTCTTAACTAAAATATTAAGATGTGTTATCTGTGGTCCATTCTCTTAGCGAGCTTAATTTCACAATCCCTTGAAGATCATCTAGACGCTTTAGGCCTCTTTCATTGTGTTCATGCAGAACAAGCTATGAAATGAACGACCATTTAGATCTTTGTGTAACGATTTCAACACACAGTCCATCAACTTTGATTCCTCTGACTCGCTTTTCTGTATCACAACCTACTTGCTGAGTGCTTTAAATAATTAAATAAATTCCCTCTCCTTTTTCCTAATGCAATTTTAAAGCAGCTGATGAACGAATCTGTAGCTGTTTAGTGTAAGTGGCAAGTTTAACTGCGCCCTTCCGCGAATGGTTTCGCGTTCAGGACAGTCTGGATTGTTATGGATTTCAGTCACCGGTCTGTCGGATTTTTCGATTATACCTCAGATGGGCCCTTCGGTCGGTTGGGCGTGGGATGGGTAACGCTGGGCTCGTCGTTTAATATTCAGAAGACCAGGCTTCGAGTACTGGTTATACCACATCCAAAACTATAAAAAATTAGTTTTTCTAATTACGGGGGACCCTACTTAGAGAATGACAAGTGCTCCATGACATGAACTCAAGACTCCTCATAAAAATCCATTGTAGGTTCAGAGTAGGCTGGGAACAAGCTGTAGGTTCCTCCATTTGTTCGTAAAACATCAAGGCACAAACCACAAATTGGGGGGTGAGCTGGACCGATATTCGCTTCAGCGGTTTCAAAATTCCAATTAAAATAAAAAAAAGACATTGGATATGCTTTCATTATAATTTCATCCACTTAATACTTGTGGGTATACAAAGTTCCTGGTCAAACCACTTCCCGGGGGAAATAGTAGTTTTCCTGTTAATCTAAACAAAAAACCACACACACACCAAATTTCAAATAAATCGAACGAAAATCAAAATTTTTTCGAATAAGTCAGTCCTTGGTCCACTTCCCAAAGAGAAGAAAAGCTTTTGTTCCACATCCCGAAAATTTGTTCATAAACCTTCCAAGAAACCAACCATAGAAACAATCTGACGGAATTTCAAGTTTATCGGCGAGTAACATTTAGAGATTTCCAAATAAACATTAGAGTTTAAATCGGGCTATAGCTGTCTAAAAGACCAAGTCCTTCATTGGAAAGCACTCATCTAAAACACCACCCTTCATATATATGATAAAATAATTGACAAAAAAGACAAAACTTTTATTAAACCAGCTTATATTTTTGCTTCGGCAGAACAAATCTCGCTTCTGCTCTTTTTCTTTTTCTCATTTATACTCCTGAAATTTTTAGATACTATACATTTTATCACTATCTCTATGCCTTTTCATGCCACCAAGACTTTTCGCCAGAGCAAAAATATAAAATTTCTCTATTTTTCCTTTTATTCTCCTGTCGTTTGCTTTGTTTGCGCACATTTTGCGGTTATAGTCACATTTTATTGTTGCTTTTGGGCTGCTAAATTAAAGTGGTTCAAAGCGAAATTTGTTATTTATCACATTAAGGCTAAATGGACTGAAAGAAACATAAATTATAAATATTTCGAAGAATATTAAACATTGGGTAGAAGGTCAAAAATAGTGTCTCTTTTATTTATTTAGGTGTTGTTAAAAGGAGAGCCCGGTAAGAAGAGGATAAGAAAGAGATATTTTGATTTAATTGTTTTTGGTTTTAAGCTTTATGGAACTATCTGAATGTATTTTTTGAAAATAGTAAAAAATTGTATTGCAAAATTTGCTTGCCAACAAGAGGCTTGTTGTGGGATATTATCTTTCACACGGCGCCGAATCGTCTTTTTAACGTTCCTCGCTTACGCTTGCAGAAACTAAAATTCTCAACATTACGTGCTGGACATGGTCTATCTCAAAATGGGTAATGGTTATGAAAATAGTTTGCATAGTAGGGCGATTTTGTTAACCATAAGTTAAGGGAATTCTCGTTAATAAAGTTGAACGATTGTAAACGTTGCTCAGGTGAAAGTCTTTACGTGATGAAATACCAAACAATACTGAAAAAACTTAGCATGGCAGCTTGACATGACTCACTCATGATCTGTAAGAAAAAGGTTATGGAAAAAAGTACCGATACTTGGATCACCCTTTACACACATATAAATATTTCATTATGATGGGAGCTTTATTTGAAATCAGCAGGTCATTCTCAAAAGTGGGGTCCCTCAACTGAGTTTGAAAGTTATGGGTCGCAAGCCCATATTAAGACTTCCATGTGCCAGTAAATTGATGAATTTGGACGCATTTATTAGCAAACCGATAGGCTCAAGAGCGCCACACCTCAGGTAAACCGAGACTGTGGAGAGACTTTTGCGAAGGCATGAAAATTCCACCATTAAAAAAATGCAAAATTTGGAATTAATAGACTAGTTGTGAGTAGATAGTGAACTTTAAACAAATATTATTAACATATTAATAAGGATTATTAATTTGTTAAATTTAAAAAAAGTCAAATAAGCATAATTCTCATAATTTTTTTCTGCGCCTAAGTTTTTTTCAGTTTCAAAAATTTTTTTTCTTATATTATAGTTTCTTCTATAATACAAAAAAAAAACAAGGTAGTTTCCCTCAAAATGTTTTTTTTTTTGATATTAAGGATCTGACTTAGAAAGATTTTTTGACTTTTGCTTTTTTTTATGCCACCAGTTTAATTTAAAAAAAAAAGAGTTTTTCAAACTTTCTCGAATTAAAAAGATTTATAACAAAAATTCAACAAATTTCTATATAAAAAACGTACTCACTCAAAGACCTTGCATAGTATTTTCTGAAATCTAATGGAAATATAATTATTTTATAAAAAAAATATATGAAATATTTTTAAAATGCCAAATTTACATACAGAAAATTCATTAGCGCACACCTAAAATCCCTTATTCCTCTAAAATCAGTAGCAGATGTCGACAATGCAAATATGGCTTTACAACATTACTACATTTTGCAGAGAAAATTTCCACGCACGATGGGTCGAGCAATCATTTTCTATGATTTTCAACGGTCTTCAGGGTAAAGTCATTGCAGAACAAAAAAAAAAAGAAAAAACGTAGGGGAGATTGGCAGAGGGTATCTCATTTGCCATGCATCTTTCCACTGCATTTACAACAAATATTGGATATAAATCTCTTACAGAATTTCGTGCAGATCCAGAAGAAAATTTTATTCAATTTAATTTTAAATCACTTAGAGAAATTATTTCTAACGACATAAGGAAAAAGAAGGCTCCTGGATACGACACCATAACGGCTGATATGCTAGAAGATCTTCCAAATATGGCAATTAAACACATGCTTGTATATTTAATAGCATATTGAGACCACGCTATTTTCCAAAATCCTGGAAGCTTTCAGAAATTCTTATGATCCCCAAATTAAGTAAAGATCCACCTTTGGTGAGCTCCTACAGTCCTATCAGCTTAATTACGATATTCTCAAAAATCTTCGAAAAACCTTTAAAAAAAATATTACCGATTTTAGAATCGAAACAGACCATACCATGCCACCAGTTCGGATTTAGAGAAAAACTCAGTACAATAGAGCAGGTGCATAGAATCGTAGCACACAAAAGATCAGCGTTTGAAAACAAGCAATATTTCCCTGCAGTGTTCCTCCATGTTGCTCAGGCATTTGATAAAGTTTGGTTAGATGATCTATTCTTCAAGCTGAAAGGTACGCTTCCCGTAATAATTTATGATTTCTTAGAAAGCTTTCTTATCGGCAGAAAATTTCGTGTTAGGCAAAAAAGTCACACCACTGAATCCTATGAAATATTTTCTGGTGTTCCACAAGTCCTATATTTAATTTATACGAACGATCTTCCCGTAAACCGAAACCTCATCACATCAAATTTTGCGGATGATACAGCAATACTTAGTATCCATTCAAGCCCCATGGCAGGGAGTTACAGATTACGAGAACATTTAAAAGTAATAGAAGAGTGGCTAACAACTCGGAGAATTAAAGTCAATGAGTCTAACGGTATACAAGTTACATTTACCCTGAAAAAGACACAGGTCCTTCAATCTCTATAAATGAGAATACAATACCTCAAAAACAATTCGTTAGTTACCTGGGAGTTACATTGGATAAAAGACTCCCCTGGAAAAACGACATGGACAAAAATATCACTCAAGCGAAATTGAAAATTGCGAACTTGCATTGGATTGTCCTCAGCATTTAAATCTAGCCTAGATAGAATTCAAAGATTCAAGTCTAAAGCCTTAAGATCGATATGCAAAGCTCTTTGGTATGTAAAAAGCTCAACAAGTTACAACGATCTCGGGATTAAAACCGTCGCCAACGAAATAGAGAAATTTAATGTTTGGTATCCTTAATGATATATAATATATGTAAACACATTCTTTGATCAATCTATATTCGTAATTTTTTGTACTTTGCTTACTTTATTAATCTATACAGTGGAAATGATTAACTTGTTCCAGGAATTAGAATTAGCTTTAAGATTTTTGAAATTATTGTTAGTTTCCAAAAAAGAAAGATTCAATAAAAATGAAAATATTTTTTTTAATATCAAAAAGTTTTCTTCGACCAAATCGATATTGAGTGCGACTACCTTCTTTTATTTGTAACTGGTTTCTTTATTTTACAAAAAAAAAAAATTTCAACAGTTGGCAGTATTCTGACTTTGATCAATATAAAATGGTTTATTTCAAAACAATAGATTTTCTGCAGCATTAATTTTTGGTTTCTCGAATGGAATGTTAAAGAAATTTTTTGCTGGATATTTTATGCGAATTATGAACAATCAAATTACATAATCAAATAAACGGTTAAAATTTTTTATTTCAGCCTTCCATCTGTACTCGAATAAGACCGATGAACGCATTGAGGACGACACATTGGCTGTGAAATACGAGGATGGCCGCTGGTCGAAACCATACTATGATTGCGGTGGTGGCAATATTTGGATGCTGACTTATACGGTGCCGTTTTTCGGTTATGAAAATGGAACATATCATTTCAAGTAAGTTTCTACTCTAGCTAAAACAAGGGTTGGGAAAAATTTAAATTAAGATGCTTTTCTGGGATTGGGATAAAAAACAATTAGACGCTAGTGAAATAATCGTTCATACCCTCGGTATTTTGCGAGATACCGATGCGATCGACATTCTAAAATCAATAATTTACCGAAATATCGTTGAAAAATTCTTTTCCAAACTTTGAAATGTAGTTATTTTTAAATTTCTTGGAAACCATCAGCAGTTGAAAAACATTAACCGTTTTTTTTTTTCAAAAATTAGTTCCTCAGAAACTTCCCTTCTTTATTCGTTATTCATAAAAACTTCTTCTGAATTTCTGATTTACCTACTTTATTAAGGTAGACACCACTTACGTGATTGTAGCCGTTTAAACAACTTTGCGCATTTCGTTTCTTCTTTTTGCTGTTTGGCGCCAACTGGAAATACCAAAAACAGTCATCCATCTCTACCTGGTCTTTTCAACGGAGTGGAGGTCTTCCTCTTTCTCGGGTACTGCATCGAAAACTTTCAAAGCTGGAGTATGTCGCCGTATAACTCGTTCCATCCGTATTGGCGTTTCGGGTTCACCATCTCCAGATTCACTACTATTCAGCAGGTTGGCGAAGTGTTCCCTCCATAAATTCAATATACACTGGGCATCAGTGGCTAGATCACCGTTTTCCGAATTATTAAAAAAAAAGTAAAAATCATGAAAACTACCCGAAAGGATTGATTTAAATGGCACATACTCGTATATTTCTATATCGGGGTATAATAACGGCACATTCACTAACAAAAAATTTCAGATGCGCCGTTTTGCTCGATAACATTACGCTACTTTGGAAGTAAAAAATGTAATAAACGATTTTTACAGGCTTCTTTTGAGACCAATTCTTCGTCATTGCCCTGGTCATTGACCTGCATAAGAAACTCCCAACCAAGTTTCTGACAAGTCACTATACGAGGTGTGTTCAAAAAATATCGCGAATTTTGTGTTATTTTTCAAAAATTATTTATTTATTGATGAATATCTATTTTGTCCCCTTCAAAGTAATCCCCATGAGATACTTATGCCAACGGTTTTTCCGATCTTCGAAGGACTTCAAAAAATCTTTTTTTTATCTTGTTCAGCGTTACGTGGCCCTTTATGGGCCTCTTCAGTTTAAGGAACAAGAAAAAGTTACAAGGGGCCAGATCTGAGGAATATGGTGGCTGCGGCATCATTAGTGTGTTGTTTTTGGCCAAAAAGTCGCGCACAGGCAACGATGTTTAAGCAGGGGTGTATGCCAAAATCAACATTCGATTCGAAATGCATCCGCGCACTTAATTTCGTTTTTCACTCAAAATTTGATAAGGTTCTTTGATCCATTTTTTTGAATAGGTAAAAATCGAAGACCATCCAAAACACGTGCAAGCAATTCAGCTGTCAACAATTAAGTAAACATTCAAAATGGCCGAGCTTGTCGGCATAAGTGACAGACATGAGTACCAACATAACGCCACAAAAAAATCGAAATTCGATTATACGTAACCCGCGAAAACTCAAAATTCTCGATACTTTTTTAACATACCTCGTAAATGTGTATGGTCAGACATTGTCCTGATAAAGACTATCCAACTGTTGACAATACAGTTCCAAATGTGGATGCTTCATTGCTAACCCCACCTAACACACAACTAAGCCTTCCAGCTTTCATTTAACGATGTTGTCAGTGATCCATTTAAATTACAACAGATTCCAGATAGATTGCATTGCAGATCTATTGTGACGGAGCCGAATTCGGACTTATTCCTCCTGTTGAAAGGTAGCTGTGAGGTCCTACACCTCTACCTTTATGACCCGTACGTAGATGAATGCGTGAGACAATTAAAAACAAACTTCCTTGGGTCCATTACTTTATGAAGAACCACGAAATAAGGTGAGCTGACCTCAGCGATGACACAGAGTCTGCCATAAGTCAATATTTTTTGCAAAAAATATTTGATCGAAACAATAGTATTTCTAAAATCATGACAAATACTTTATTGACTTCAAACTCAGAAAACCCAATACCCAATAGCCATTTTGAAAATTGCTTAATTTTTTAAATTTTTTATACCTTATTTCACTTTTAAATTCAACAACAAAAATGAAGCTCTCAAACTAAAATTCCACTTCTACTATTTCTCTACTCCTCCGAACCATGTTACCACAATGACTCTGTTTCCATTTTAGAGCGCGTTCAAGAATCGCTAAACTCGTTAGCAGAAAAGTTTTCTCTACTAGTCATTGTAATTAAGCCAACTTAGTGTGGTTTATTGTTGCTGTAGTTCCACTTCAACTGTGTTGCGGTTAACGAGAATAATTTTTATTAAATTTTCTGCCCGACGCTTCAGCACAGCTAAACTTTGCTTGATATTCTCAACTAATTGTTGTAAAATTCTATTGAAATTATTGCTGTCGCTGTGGTAGTTGTAATTGTTGTGGTCACTTCGGCTTTGCTAAATTAAGCGCTACCAAGCAACAAAGGCAGGAAGAGAGGGTTAAAGAGGGGAAAGAGGTTACAAAAAAAAGGAGAAGTAGAGAGAGATGCAATTTAATGCTGACCAAATTTGTTTTTATTTATTTTTATTTATTATTTTGTTGTTTTCATTTCTGCTATTTGTTTGACTTGCAGTGAGCGAAATCCTTTCACTAACCACTCAGCTAACCAACCAACTAACACACCAATCATTCACATGAAAATTTGTCAGATGGAAAATTATTTAGAACAGCGTAAGCTTGCTGTGCAACTCGTTTTTTGCAGTTGATTTATGAGTTCAAGTGATTCCGTTGTGTGTGTGTGCCGCCTGCATGCCTGGACCAAGTTTACGCCGCCGCGGTAATTGCGGGCCGAGCTACTGTTTGCTGTGCATTTGAAATATGCAATCAACAATGTTGCGAGAGTTGGTCCGCAAGGGTGATTCGCGAGCAAAATAAAACTAAAACAAAAAAACAACAACATTAGCAACATCAAATTCAAAAACTGTGAAAGTAAGGAAGAGCTGGTTTTGAAGTTTGTGTTGTGACGAGCTTTGATTGTTTGGCTCACCTTTTCCATTGTGATGGGTGGTTAACAATCGGTCGCTATATGAGTGGACTTATATGCCTTTTACATTTAAAGGTCCGAGGTTCTACATCAAGTTAAATATGCTTAATCAAAAGACTAAATCATAGATGGAATAAATCACAATTTTCGTTTACTAAAAATGTAGTTTAACTATGAAAAAAGAGCTAAGCTTTATGGCGAGTCTCATCCGGTTTCACTGAAGTGCCTTGGCAACCCAACCCAAAATCTTTCACTTTAGACTAGAAATACTGCAGTTGAGATGATTCTACCTTTGTTTCGATCTGCTGTCAGAATATAACAAGGCGATTGGATTATTCTCCAAAGCTCGAGTTGCGAGAGTCCGAACAATCATTCTTTCTCGGTTGTTATTTGTAAGATAAATATGTTCTGTATTGCTCAAACTATTTTTCCAAATCTCTTTCTTTTCCTTTTATGAAATCGTAGCTTCTCTCCTATTGGACGACATATTCTCTAACCCCATATGAAAAACCAAATCCGCAACGCAACTGTGGACTTCCGCTGTAAGTGCATGAAGCTTATCGGTAATCAAGCACGGGACAATTCTATCCCGATTCCTAAGTCTAATTCTACATCATTATGTCTTTATGCCCTGGTTCTCAGCTATTTTGTGGCACATAACCTAGCGGCTTTTAGAAATATCTTTTTTTTGCCAGGTTCGTAGCAGCTTCACCGGTGTATGTAGTCGAAACTGCAGAAAGCGTTGCCGATGGTGTTATTTTAATAGTTCCGCTGATGCTGGGTATAGAAATTCGATATACATTTTTCAGCTCTGTCCTTTTTGAATCTTCATACCCTACCCAAAAGAGTTGGTGAGAAACCACGGGTGCAACCCAGTATCCGTGGACATACATAAAGGCTGCGGATGTCTCTTTCACTCGCTCTTCCACAGTGAGCTTCTACCACCGCTTGTTATCAAATAGTAATCTTAAGCACTTGTTGCTTAGCTTCGGCTATAAAGCAGTCTCACAGCTTCCTATAATTATACTTCTCTTACACTTCGTTGTGGGAAGATCTAAGTCAGTATCTCCTGTGTTAATGAAAAGTCTCAAAAAGTTAGCTCAATAATTTATTATGCTGAGCACCTGATTCGTTAGAAAGCCTAGGGTTGCCCAACATTTATCACTTATAATGACCAAAATGTTCTCTTCGTATGCTGTTTTTAGGACCGCTTTCGTCCGCAAACTGCTTTATCTGCAATACATTGACCGCAAGAGTCCAAATGAGAGAAGATAATATCCTCGCGGCCGCGGTAGCCGAGTGGTTAGCATTGTGTACTGACATTCGGAAGGGGTTGGAGTCAAATCCCGGTGCGACCAACATTCAAAAAGTTATGGAAAATTAATTTAAATGAAAAATAAGTTAAATTTTTTTAATTGCGGTCACCCCTCGGCAGGGGATGTCCATCCCTCCGAGTACATTTCGGATATCAAAATCAAAGTTTTTCATAAAATAACCATCAGCCGTTCAGAGGCGGCTTAGTATAAGCTGAAGGTCCCTCCATTTGTTGGAAAATTTCAAGACGCAAAACCACAAAGCTCACACGTCTTACGTTTTCGTCTCTATACCGCATTGCACCTAAATTTTCCATTACTTAGCAGGAGGTTGATAGTGAAAACGATCTCTTTACCGATTTTGTTTAATATCAAGTCATCGGACCTTTTTTTGAGATATCTGGTAAAGAGTCTCAGTATGGGCTTGAAAGGTTCGCGTGCACGGAATGACAAATGGAGAAATACAATACACCTCTGGCGACAATTTGCCCCCAGGCAAGGAAAAGGTGAAATGGTTGCTTTTTCCTATTGCAAATTGCAACTGCAGCAGTTCATTCTCTCTGGCAACCGTCAAAGAACATTCGCCTCGCGCTACTGTCAAACACACTAAAGCTTCGTGCGACG